TTAGGCCTCTGTTGGTCGCTTCTTGCGTGAAATATTTCGGATGGTTGTGCACATGAGTTGTCAAGTGTTGCCACTAGCTTCGTGCTGTTGGCTGCACTTCTGCTCTCATGTCATATGGTTGCCCCTCCTTTTGAAACGAGGGTTTATGAGGTGTCCTGTCCATTTGGGGGCTGCCGGCACCGGAACAAAGTTAGTTAGTTAGCCCGCGAGGTCATGACTGGAGTTTTCTGCAATAGCGCTATCAAAGCGGCAGAGAGCGATCACGAGATGGTCGTCCAATCGCTGGTCCAGACGCGGCAGGAGAAACTCTATAAGCACTGCTTGTTGAACTCTTGTTGCTGTTGGTTTACTTTCAACACAGTTGTAAAGGGAATGAATCCTTGGAGACGGGAGACCTGGTGCCGGGTGTGCCATGAATGTGCCTTCAACAGTGTTATTGGTGAGGAGCTCAAGGACCAGGTTGCCACATTGTTCTACCAGATTCTTGGCTGCTGTTTAGCGAGACGGCTGCATCATTGGGAAGGTTTGGGCCAAGAATTCTGGGTCGCTTGACGCAGTTGGATGGGAACATGACATAGACTAAAGTGGGCATTGTGTTGGTGCAAAATTTACACCTCATGTACGTGCCATGCATGCTGTTGGTTGAGCGATTAACTGCATCATTGTTCGTGCCGCGCAGCTCATGCCGTGCATAGTGTTATCTTAAGAGTGCTTTGGCAAAGGTGCAGTTTTGTGTAGAACTTGTGCTACTCAGGGGATAGCTGCGAGTACCGTACAAAGCTCCAGGATCTTCCTTCTGAGCGTCCACAACAGGCATCAGAAGGAAGAAGTGTGGCAGTGTGTGTCGTCATTGTCACAGCCTTGGGTGCATGCATGCATGCATGCATGCATACCTACCGCGCCGACACGAACATATGTGCACAAACAAAAAACAAACAGACACACACACACACACACACAAACAGACACACACACACGCGCGCACTCACACACAATTACTTTTACGGAGCCACCACATATAGCCTACATCAACATCCACTACGAGACCCTGCAAGTATGTAAGGGTAGATCCGACAAAGAGGAAACTGACATACATAGAGTCAGTGAGAGGAGCTATATTCTTCAAAGCACCTTTCTCAGTTTCGGCTGAGAGTGGCGAGGATTGATGAGCGCGGCCAGGGCCAGATAACTTTTACAGATTTCGAGAAGCTCTTCGAGGACGATGCTGTCAAGGCTTGTTCTGGCCTTCACGAAGTGCCCTGGGGATTGCGAGCTTGCTGTGATAGGCCTTCTTCGAATCACTCCAGATCGGGGCAGTGGATGCCTGGACACTATTCCAAAGCAACACGATGCAAGAATTAAGTAGACAAATGCCTATATGCTTGAGAGGGCCAAAGAGGCTAGAGGTAAGGTGGTTGCAAATAATTACTTTTAGGATAACAATAGGAATTCAATAGGATCTTGGGGTTCCTTTGGAATAGGAAAACAATAGGCTTTTGGATAGGATTGAAGAGTGGTCAGTTAAAGGGTCTTGTATTTCTAGGACTGTAGTGAGCAAGGTTGTAGGGTAGTTATGATTTGAGTTTTGGAGCTCAGGACGGTCTGTGTTTTCGGCTCAGACCGGAGATTTCTGTCTCCCAAAGGTTTTACCAGCAAGGGAGGGGGAGGGAGGGGGAGGAGGAAGGGAGAGAGGGAGTCAGGCTTGCTCCCCAGCAGCCTGCTGCCAGAGCGCCTCCAGGCCTAGGGCACCCCTCTTTGGAAAAAGGCTGGAACGCAGGATTGCCGGAAATTTCTGAGATTGTCCGATTATTTTCCTATTGCGGGCGTATTGTGGGCGTATTGTGGGCTTATTTTTCTTCTATAATAGAGAAAAAAGATGCCCAAAATAGGGCCGCAATAGGATTTTAATACAAATTCCTGGAGCGGGCAATAGGATTTCAATAGGTTTTTAATAGGACCATGGGAGAGAGTAGAGGTGGGGGCGAGGGCCTCTACGATGGGTGGGCTTGGGGGGGAGGGGGACCAGAATGGTTCTGGGAGGACTGCAGGAGCGGCATGATTGCTTCGCCACTGTATCACAACTCAGTACCACAACCCTCCTCAAAGTCATGTCCCCTGTAATGGTGCATCATCATTGCATGATGGCGGCCTGGTCTTTACATGTGAAGCGCCGGGTTCCCAGCATCCGCATGGGGATCTTCTTGGATGACCGAATGCTCTACACGAAGGAACCCAGGCGGTCGCGAGGTTGGTGGAGGCAGCCACGGCGGGGCAGGAGGCGGACACGGCAATGGGCTTTGCATTGCACCCTGCCAAGCTTGCTTCTTTCGGGTGTCATGTGCAGCAACGCGAAGCCCTGCTTGAGAACGCGGACTTGCTCGGCGTGCCCCAGACGGACTTCCTCCTGCTGGGCGTGCAACTACAGGTTGGAGGGCCAAGGCTCTGAGGTGCCGGGGGAGGCGAATCAGCAGGGTGGCGGCGACTACTTCCACGCGAGCTCGGTTGGCCAGTTTGCTGATGGTTTCGAAGCAGCTCAGCAAGGCGAGTGTGCGTGACTGGGCGCACCAGGTCGAGGCGGCGGTGTGGGGCGGTCCCTTGGCTACGGGCAGGTCGGCCTTGCTGCTGTGGACTTTCGTTGGCGTCGACCTGCACCCCGAGTTCGCCATTTTGGCTACGGTGCTCAAGAAGGAGTGGCAACGCCTGGGCAGCGGCGGCGCGGGCTCGCATGGACCTCAGGTTGCAGCGGCTTTGGCACGTTTGGGCTGGCGCACTCTCTTTGTTACACAGCTGGGGACCTTTGACGCGCAGGAGCTCACGGCCCACGGGTTTCAGGAGCGACTTCGTGAAGCTTGGAGGCGAGTCCTTTGGGCGCGGGACACCAAAACCACGACGGAGCTCGAGGTGCACCAGGTGCCCGTTCTCAAGCCACACCGGCGCTTTCAGATGGATGACAAGGACCCTGCGCATAGCGGCGGGGGCGGCCACGGACGGCCGCGACTTGGCTCGGCTACAGGCCCCGAAAGCTTGCAGGTGCGACACTTTGGACCCGTCACGGCACCATTTGACCTTTGACTGTCCTTTCCAGCCGTGGGACGGAGCGCGCCGCACTGAACAGGAGCGACGCCTGCTGTGCGCTGTTGTCAAGGACACCGGCTACGAGCTTGCTGAGCGTTGGCAACCTCGCAGCCTTTCTGGCGACCGCAGAGGACGACATCCTCGTTGCCACGGATGGTGGGGCCATGCAAGTTGGCGAGCACTACCGGTGGCGTTGTGCTTCTTGGGAGTGGCGGTGGAGGGTCTGGCTTGGTGCAGGGGGAGGAGAAAACAGCAGCAGCCGGGGAGCGCAATGCCTTCGTCGTCCTTTGCAAGGCTGTTGTCCTGGCCCAGCGCCGGATTCGAGTGGTGGTGGACAACTTGGCCATTGTCCAGGGCTGCCGGCACCGCGGTGTTCAAGACCGAGGCGAAACTGAGCTTTGGGCCTTTTGGCGACTCGTCAAGGAGGCATTGCCTTACATGAATTGCCTTACATGACTGTGATCTGGATCCCTTCGCATGGAAAAAAGGATGACTGGCGGCCACCGCCAGACTGGCCGGATGCAGAGCACTGAACGATGCAGCCGATGCGGCTGCGACGACCCAGCTGCGAAAATTGGAGTGATGGTGGGTGCGGCTAAGAGCACAGATTGAGGAGGCGGAGGCTTGGACTTGGCAGGCCCTGCAAACACAGCTGGCAGCCACCAATGAGTGGCATGAGTGGATGAAGAGTGTGCTGAAGACCAGAAGCAGCATGCGAAGGTTGGCCGGGCGACCGGCTGACCCTTGATGCCCTCTTCGGAGAGACGGCGCGGCTACATCGCGACAGTGTGCCGTCCTTCTCGACGACGACGACGACGACTACTACTACTACTATTACTCCAGATCGGGGCAGTGGATGCCTGGACACTATTCCAAAGCAACACGATGCAATAATTAAGTAGACAAATGCCTATATGCTTGAGAGGGCCAAAAAGGCTAGAAGTAAGGTGGTTGCAAATAATTACTTTTAGGATAACAATAGGAATTCAATAGGATCTTGGGGTTCCTTTGGAATAGGAAAACAATAGGCTTTTCGATAGGATTGAGGAGTGGTGAGTTGAAGGGTTTTTATGTCTAGGACTGTAGTGAGCAAGGTTGTAGGGTAGTTATGATTTGAGTTTTGGAGCTCAGGACGGTCTGTGTTTTCGGCTCAGACCGGAGATTTTTGTCTCCCAAGGGTTTTACCAGCAAGGGAGGGGGAGGGAGGGGAGGAGGAAGGGAGAGAGGGAGTCAGGCTTGCTCCCCAGCAGCCTGGTGCCAGAGCGCCTCCAGGCCTGGGGCACCCCCTTTTTGGAAAAAGGCTGGAACGCAGGATTGCCGGAAATTTCTGAGATTGTCCGACTATTTTCCTATTGCGGGCGTATTGTGGGCGTATTGTGGGCCTACTATTTTTCTTCTATAATAGAGAAAAAATATACCCAAAATAGGGCCGCAATAAGCAATAGGATTTTAATACGAATTCCTGGACCGGGCAATAGGATTTCAATAGGATTCCAATAGGAGTTTCATAGGATTTTAATAGGGTTTCAATAGGATTTTAATAGGACCATGGGAAAGGGTAGAGGTGGGGGCGAGGGCCTCTACGATGGGTGGGTGGGCTTGGGGGGAGGGGGACCAGAATGGTTCTGGGAGGATTGCAGGAGCGGCATGATTGCTTCGCCACTGTATCACAATTCAGTACCACAACCCTCCTCAAAGTCATGTCCCCTGTAATAGTGCATCAACAATAGACCTGAATGTCGATACTCAGCCGACTCAAGCAAAGCACCAACCACAGTGCGAAATAGAGTCTTGCTGTGGCATCTTGACAATTCCCCCATCTTTTTGCAGAGCTACAGTTTAATTATAATACTTGAATGAATCAGTCAATTAAGGATCCTATTGTCTTCCTATTTATTTCCTGTTCGTAGAAAACACAAAAATCTGATTAAATTCCTATTGAATCTCTAACAGTAACTATTTCCCAAAATCATAGTTTGCCCAGACTTAGGCCATCTCAACGATATGCAAGAACTGCCAGGCGAAAGACCATTCAACGGCCGTGTTTTCGAGATAGAGAGCCTTGCGGCGGGGTGCCAATGGGGGACAGCATTCCAAACTCGTTTTTGGGTTCGGCCAAGTGATAACCAAAAGCATTCAGCTGTCTACTGCCGCTCCAGTCGTCTGTCCAAGGTTTAGACATGGACGGGGATCATACTATCAGTGTGGACGAGTTCACGGAAAGATGTCCCCCATCTGCATAAAGCATGCCTTTTTTAGCCACATTCGGTTAGTGTAGCTGAACTCTCACGCGCTCCAAGTAGTCGGGACTTGTCACTCTGCTCGAAAAGGTCTAGATCTATACATACGAAAGATATTGCACCCATGCTACAGCAGGCTCAAGTGTGGTCACTGCACTCCAAGTTTTAATTGGCTTGAAAAGACGTGAACGTGTCTCAGGCATTGTGCAGGGTGACTTTCGAAGTATGGTTCTAGTCAGAACAGTCGATTGGCAGACGTCACATCGGTGCTTGCCACATCTGCGTTTACAGGTTTGCAGCTGCATGGGCCTGCTCGCTCGGCCGATCTGTATGCTTTGAGGCAGAGCAGTGCAACTCGGACTGCATTGCAAAGCTTTTCACTTCGGATTTGGTCACGAATGGTGACTGTACAAGGCTTGTAGCAAGTAGCGGCGATTGTGTTTCATAGACAGCATCTGTCAACACATGTCCGGAATCTCACAGCAACATTGCCGATGAGAGCTATTATTCTTTCTGCTCTTGAGAATGTTCGTATGACTGCGATCTGACTAGTTCCAGGCGAAGCTTGGCAAGCAGCTCCAGGCTATCGAACGGGCACAGCAGCGGCTGGACTTTCAACTTCTTCGTGCAGGCCGTCTCAATTGCCTCATTTACAGGAGCAAAGCATAAAATTCGCGTCAAGCGTCCCTTACGTGCATGATCCTGAATGTGCTGGTTGTTTGGAGCGATGGAGCAATTTGCAGCAATCCAAACCATCTTCTGCGATTGAGTCTGTGTGCGAACACAGTGCAAACCTGCGCCGCACCTGAGTTGCCTCCTTGCAGGCAGCGCTCTATCAACGAGCGTGGGCGAGACGAGCACAGAGACAGGCGACGAACTGAGTCAGGATCGCAAGTCTTTCCGCGTCTAATAGGGCGAGTTTTGAGCCGATTGAATCTCAAGTGTTTTTTTAAAATCGTGGGCAGTTTTCGGGAGAGCAGCAATTGCAACCTTGTTTTGACTGGGCTAGTCAGTCACAGCACGCCCTTCGCAAAGCTATGGCCAGCAACTCCCATGAAACATGATACTGTAGTAGATTGATCGTTCGAAAGCTGCGGCTCCATCTGCCCTAACTTCCTTCGTAGATGTCACGCACTGGAGGGAAGGTGTTGATTCCTCATCTGTGCCTCGATGTGGTGGCTTGCCTGAGTGCAACTTCAATGCTCATATTTCATCGTAAATCATGTTGGGCTTATGAGATTTCTATAGGAATCACTCGCGCGCCGGTTCGGCGTCAAGATGGGCATCCGAGTACTTGTTGCAGAACTGCGAATGTCAGTTGCTGCAACCACGTATGAAGCTAGGCATGCACCCGTCCCTGAGTAAATATCACTGTGTCGAGAAGCCGGCGGAAGACTGGCGAAGCCAGTTGGCCAAATAACAAAATCAGGTATCGATGCTTCAATTTTTTTGTCGTTCCCCGTGTTGGCTGGATGCAGGTCTGCTTTCCATCTGTGTTCTATGTAGGAGGTAGGCAACAGCCGCAAGCTGGTCTGATCAGGGCATTGCAGGCATCGGAGGCACTCCTGGGCAATTGGTACTGGTAGGAGACTTCGCTGATATGCGTGGGAATTCAGTGGATGAGTCAACCTGTTCCGCGCCGCAGTTCAAAGGGTCAGCAGAGGCCCAAGTGTCCCAGCCATGGTGGACTCTGACGTACCCAAACTTGTGGAAGCCTTGCAGACCAGCCACCATGAGATGCTCAGTTGCAGGGTTTCAGGGACGGGGTGTAGAGGTCAGTTCTGTGGCTGGCTGCGGACTCGGCGACTGCATCACCTGTTGTAAAATTCTGCTGTCGAAATCTCGCCGGTGCTCGCATGAATCTCCAGGGCACAAGAAGTCTAGCTACTCTAGCTTGCTTCAGGATGGAGAAACAATTAGGATGGGATGCTCTTCCCCCGCGTGGGTGGCAGGTGACAAAGGGGAGGCTCCAAGCTCTAGGAGTGCAAGTTCCACACGTCTCAAGAAAACATAGAGGAGCGATTGAGGAGTGCGAGGAGCGTGGTCGGGGACTGGAGGCTCTGCCAGCGAAGCCATTTCAGCCTCGCTGTCTTAACGCCGGCCCAAACATCATCGGAAGTGTTGGGGATGAAGCGGCGAAGGCCGGCGCTGGCAGCCAGGACTTTGCCAACGACCATAGTTGAAGCCGTCCAGCAAGATGCAGCATTCTTGCTCCTCAAGACCTACGCCCGTGAAGGGGCCAACGACAGCTTCCCATGCGGTTCGTTAGCTACCACGCCTCACTGAGTTCTCTGCACTCACTCTCCAATCACTCCCCTTTCGCTCTCCACTCCCGTTCTGCTTCACGCTCGCCCGGAGGCATCTTCTTTGGCACATCCTACTGCTCAGCTTTTGACTCTCGAGATTTTGTATGACATGCCATCAATGAACGGCAAACTTGTCCAGACAGATGTGCGGCGAAATTGTTGCCAGTAAGCCCGACAACCTACACTGTGCCACTCCTGGCGCACCTCCTGTCTGTGTAGAGCGGCAATCCATGTAGACTCGCTTAGACTCCGAAACCCGTGGCTCGTTTCATGAAGTGGCAGCCAAAAGCCTGCCTCAAGGATCCTATCGCGCCTGGACACGCGGCTCCGAGACTTCGAGGACATGCTACGCCTCCGCTTGGCCAGGCGGGTCACTGTACATTTCTTTCCCCATCGCTGCCTAGGCAGATCAGAAAATCAGCGAATGCACCAGTTGCACGTCTTGAAAGATCGTTTTGCAAAATAGGCCTGCTCACCAACACCAGTGAAGATAGATCTACCAAGAGTCTTTGGGTTTGGCTGCAAAGGTAAATGACAGTGCAAGAATTCAGTTCTGCCAAGGTCTGATCCCAGGTTCCCCAGCGAGCTCGAGACTGAGATTCCCCACTCGATCCGGATGAATGGCAGCATCTGGGCTGCGCTCTGAATCAGCTTGGAGTCATGGAGTCAAGATGTCATGGGCGCATCTTCAGGCTCCGAGAAGTTGGATAATAAGTATCAACGGCAGCGGTCCAGCGCGCAGTCCACCGAATCGGAGCTCTTGGAGGGTTTGGACAGCCGCTCGGCGATCTGCGAATTGGAGCGGAGCGACCGGCGACCGGGGCGGGCGGAGTGGGCCCTGCGCGGCCGAGGCCACGACCTGGCCGTCCTCACGCACAATCGCCTCGTGGAGGCTTTCGAGAGCAAGGCCAAGGCCAAGCCGGGCCCGGGCCAGGGCTTTTGCAGGAGTTTTCCAATCCAGGAGTTGCAAGTGGCGGACGTCTTCTTTGTGGCGGGGCGTGCTCTTACCACTGTTTAGCTTCATGAACTTTCATGCAGTGGAGGGCTTTCTTGTGACCTCTGCTTTCGGGCAGGTTGAGGCTACGGCTCCGGCACCAACGAAGCAACCAGTCGGCTGGCAGAGATGTCAAGACTTCTCTCGCAGCTTTGCTTGCCTTGGTAAAGCAAAGAGAAGCTTCGTGTACAGAGCATGTGTGAAAGGAAACTCATTGACAGGAGGGATTGTCAAGCACAGCGACCTTCCAGACAAACTTCAGCTGTGAATATGACACAGCAAAGGAAATCTCTTGAATTGTCACCAAGGACGAGTCGTGAATTCCAGCTTCTCGAATGCCTTCTTCGCTTTGGTAGTGTTGTCCAACTCGGTCTACCTGGGGGTGCAGCTGGAGTACTATGCAGCCCGGGTTGCATTGGGGATCATCCGGAGCATTGCTCAAGTAGCCAGAGCCGAGGCGCAAGTCCGGAATCCCGCAGATTCGGCATATTACATCTTCTTGACGGTGCACCTGACGTATGCCATCCTCTTCACAGCGGAGGTCTGCCTTCGCCTAGCTGCCGAGGGATTAGTGTCTTATCTCTGGTCATCAGAGTGGCACTGGAATTGGCTCCTCGGCCTCGGCAGGCGCTTGCATCGTGTCTGTCGACTCGGATTCTGCCAGCTCAGGCTCGACGTCTTTGTGGTCTCATCGTCGTGGATAGAGCTCATGATCGACATTGTAACCCCGGGTACTGGTGGTCGGGGAACAAACAGCAACTTGAGGCTTATGCGGCTGATTCGCATCGGTCGACTGTTCCGGGTGGTCCGAATCATGAAAGTGGTGCGCTTGTTCCGCTCTTTGCGGACCTTGGTCCAATCACTGGTGGGAACACTGAAATCACTGGCATGGGCCATGGTCCTGCTTTCTCTGATCATGTATATATTTGCGATACTTTTTACTGACGCGGCCCTGGACTACATCATCGAACTGAAAGACCAAGTCGAGCCTTTAACTGTGGAGGAAGAGAATCACCTGGCCGATGTGAGTCGATATTTCGGGTCGTTGTACAGCTCCTTCATTACAATGCCGCTCGGATGAAATGCTCATGTCGTCAAGTGAAGAGTTCAGGTTCCACTTTAGACACTTCTTGTCGTTATTGGCGCAGAGAAAATTCAGAGAAACTCCGTGTTGAAAGAGCCTGAGCCTGGACTTTCAGAACGTCTGCCCGCGGCATTCAGCCTGGGCCGACGTGCATCAAAACCAGCACCGGATCAGTCACACAAGAGCTTCAACATCTGGCTTGCGAAATCTACGCAAGACTGTGTTCTCCAGCAGGAGCTCGACAGTTGGCAACTATTTTCGCAGTTCATTCGGCGCATTGGCCCTTCCGGGATGTCGGATGGGTCGCGTCGATTTGTGCCACGAACAGTGTCCTGAGTACGAAACTTCTTGCCTGTTGATGCTATGTTGTCTTGTCTTCGTGTAGGCGGCATGATCAGGTACCAGGTAATTTCTGATGGACTGACGTGGAGCTCTCCGGCACAGGCCCTGTACCGACTTCCGGCATTGGGCCCATACCTATGGGTGTGCTGGCATGCATGGTGTGCGCACCTCTTTGGGCTTGTGATTCAAGGTCCAGCTAAGTTTGGAGTCACTTCTGTCAAGAGTGCCTTGTGCGAGGTCCAGCTGTTCCACTTTTACATTGCGTTTGTATCATTTGCAGTACTCAATGCAGCTCGGCAATCAAAAGATCTAGTATGCTGCTGTTGCTATGATTGTAGATTTAGTGCTGGCCGTAGTTATAGAAGGAGCAGTCGATGTCGTTGTCGCAGTCGTCCTCGTAGTAGTCTTCGTCGTCGTCGTCGCCGTTGTATATAGTCGTCGTAGTAGTAGTAGTAGTAGTAGTAGTAGTCGTCGTCGTCGTGGTGGTGGTGGTGGTAGTAGTAGTAGCAGTAGTGGTGGTAGTAGTAGCAGTAGTAGCAACAGTAGTAGTAGTAGTAGCAGCAGTAGTCGTCGTCGTGGTGGTAGTAGTAGTAGTAAGCACCCCGGC